AGAATGCTGAATGCTTAATTGTAGTTCACAGAAATGTAGCCTCCTTTTTTGTTAATCACTCTCATTTTGTGCATTATTCATTTATCTTTTATATTACTATATTTCTGTAGTGAAATCTTATGTTGTTGCATGTACATGTTGTGGTTTTATATGTTTATGACCACGTATTGTACTGTGTTGTTTGTATGCCTCCACAATGGCGATAGTTATGGAACACACATCCATCTGGATTCAAGGATAAACTGATTAGATTTGGGTGTTCAAAGGTCAAGGTCACAGTGACCTCACATCTGTCCCATTCCTGTGAATTTGACTAGTTTGCAGAGGTATACAACTGCAAAGTGGTCATTCTAGCTTAACTGAGGTCAAGCTGAAGAAAGGTTTCCACACAGTGAAATAAAGTCCCTAACCTGATCTAGTCTTGATGAAAATATCACAGGCCAGAGAGACATTTTTAGAACTAACTAGTTTAACTTGTTTGTATCAAATTAGCAAGGTGTTTGACAGGGCAGTAAATAGCACTGGAAATCACACACACAGTACAGTATACAATGTGACTTACACCTTACACACTGTGAATGTATGCAACTTGTATAATGTGCTCATTACAGGTACTGAGAGTACTTACTATACGCACTGTGAAATACTCTAACCTGATTATGTTTAGGACAGTTTTGGAGGGCAGTACTTTAGATATCTTTTGTGTGCTTTGCATTGTAGGCTGAGTCCTGTGTGGAGTAATCGTTGAATAAAGATGGTGCAGTTGAGCTCATTGTTTCACAGCAGATTAACAAACTGTGCAAGTCAACAATGCCGTACTTACGCTGCAGTAAATGGGCATGAGCGCTAATAAATGTGCTGCATTCCATTACTTTTATAGAATGCCCACTGATATCTACACCCAGAACGGAAACAAATCAAAGGTGGCTTTATTCCTACTTGGCCTGTGTTGATTACTTGACCATGTCGTCTCCAAGGCACAGGAGGCTCTAAATTTGAAATCCAATTACCCACTAGGCAAAAAGCCTCGCTGGCAGCATATTCCAATGGTAACATTTAGCAGAGGCAGACAGGTGTGTCAGTGTGTGTCTGTGTGTGTGCATATGTGTGTTTGCATTCTAAATTGGCAGTGCTCTCTCGCTGCTGACTTAAGACGTATTAAGCATTCAGTTGCATCAGCATTAAAATGAGCAACCTGACAGGTGGACAGGTGCTGGACACAGATAGATGCTCGGAAGTGGTCGGTCATAACATTATCATTGTGCCAGCAGGTGGGACAAATTTAGAAATGCAGGCACGTACCAATGTTTATGTTCTCAGCATTGCTATTGAGAGCTATTTGATATGTAAGCTTTTGTTCAGTTAAAATTACAGTACATGATCTGATCCTGAATGACTGCAGCGCTGAATTCAAATCAGATGTAGCTAAAGGTCTAAAGGTGCCTGGAGTTTGTCTACAGGCAACAAAAAGATAAAGTGGTCAATCTCAAGAGACTGCTACAATGTTGTATTGAACTGATTGATTTATTTATGTCTAATGTTTCAGTTGATTATTTTCAATAGTGTCTGACAGAGAATGTCTATGTTTTGTTCTATTTGTATGAAGAACAGGGACATAGTATGATTGAATGCAACATATTTTGGTGCCTAACCAGACAAATGTAGAGAAAATTAAACATAAGAAATTATGTCAAAAGCTGAAACATGCAGTCAGTGAATTGATTAGTAGACAGAAAATTACTCTGCAACTGTTTTGATAAGTGATTAATCATTTAAGAATGTCAGACAAAACAAGTTATTTGAAGATGTCACATTGGGCGTGGGAAACAGTGATGGACGACTTTTTTCTCTAAAATTGAATTAGCAATTAAAGAAAATAATCATGGCTGCAGTTCTAGTTATATACCAAATCAAAAAACATATCAGAAACTAAAAACTCTACTAAGAGCAGTGGTCAGACAGTAGTTGACTAGTTCAGACACGTACCATTCTAGGGATAAACGTCAGCAATCTCTCCTCCCTGCACATCTTCTTAATCACAGCATCCAATAAATGAACCAAAAAAAATGAATCAACTGTAAACTTGTTAAGAGTAGGTGTGGTGCAAATTAGGGAGCCCCTTCTGCTTTTCCTCAGGAGTCAAAATTTACATACAGTGACACAAAACTCTGATCTGAATCATAGGTCCAACGGCTGCCCTTTCGACTTTTGTTTATGTGGATAATGAGCTGCCAAACCTGTTCTTATACTGCATGCAGTTAATCAGAGCTGTCAGGGATGTTGATGATCAGGTGCAGGCAGTATGCATAAACAACACTATTTCTTTAATTAGCCCTGTCCACAGTGACACCAGCGGTCATGGAACAGAGTCCAAAGGGCCCTTATGTTCTGCAGAATTGCGTTACTAATTCTGACATGCTGTCTGAACCTCCTGAGTCTTTTCTCATTGGGTGAAACTTTAACTTCTGCTAAGAGGTATAGTCATTTTATATGTGTGTGTTTGTGTCTGTGTGTGTGTGTGAGAGAGAGAGAGAGAGAGAGAGAGAGAGAGACAGAGAGAGAGACAGAGAGAGAAAGACAGCATCTGTTTATCAGCTAACCGCCACATGACTTACTGCTCTGCCACATTCATTATCTATCCTTCATTTCAGTCCATTAATGAATTGCAAACAAATGCATATTTATGTGTAAAGCTGATCTGGAATATTAATTAATTTAAAGCTTCTGTGACAACTAAACTAAATTAACTAAAATGTAAATTAATGCTTTTTAATATATGTGGTTAAATGGTGTAATAGACACTACAATTACTCTCTATCGTGTAAAGCAAATGCTGTGGGAAAGCTCAAATAGATACCTTATTAAGATATTTGTTTATGTGTGATTACACTCTGCCTCTCTTACGCTTGCTCTGCACAAAGCGCCCTCACACATACACACAAACTCTCTTCCCCTTCTAATTAAGCAGGTAATCCTCTCTCACATTCCTTCTGCATTCAGCACAGATGCTGCTGAAAGACATGCTTCGAGAGGGAGAGAGCTGCTTTGATTCAAATGAGCTGGGCTTATCTGCAAGATTCATGTTGCAGCTGACATGATCACAACACATGTCAAGATGCCTGCACTGTGGATTCGAATCTGGATCCTGGGAACTTTTACCTACCTACCCACTCATCTGCATTATATATGATCACAGGGATGCCAGAAAAATTCATGTGTGATGCTAAGTCACAAAGCAGGTCATTTATTCCACCTTATATCTGTTGGTTTGCACTTAAGTGGGTAGATCCTCTCTCTGGATGAAAGCATCGGAGGCTGAGGGGTCACTTTTTTACAATTTCAGTTCAAAAATGTTGTCTCAGTGTACTTGCAGAGAGGATTGATGGAAACGCGATCAGTGAGCAATAACTCTGCTCTGTTTGGAGAAAAGTGGTGACTGTAGTCTGCAGAAACTGATGGAGAGAGAGAGAGAGGTTTGGAAGAGCTCCACATTGTACCAGCACAGAAAGTATTTTGCAATTGCAGTTCTAATGGGAATTATGAATGGGGTTAGTCATGCTTCCAATGTGACTGAATGTGCATGAGAGGAAGAGCTCTTGTAAGTGCCTAGTTTTATAGAACACCAATGTAAATCTCTGTTTTTTATGAAATACTCCCTGTCCTTCACCTCCTGGGGACAAGAGCAATCAAACGTGACAGGTGGAAGCAGGCCTGTAATAAAGCAATAACCCTGTGGTCCTCCCGCTGCATTAGCCTGACTACAGTAAATCCCGGCTGGTGTCTCACTGCGCTTCATATGACTTCCTGTCTTTTTCAGTCGTGTCGACAACAGTGTGCGTTTCCTATGTGTTCTGTCTTAGCAGTTTGTTGGAATGTAATCATTTTGGTAATACGACACTAATCTCAGCATATCTTTAGTCTGTTCCAAGCTAAATTTAAATTGACTGACAGGATAAAAGCAGTGGGAACAAGAACAAGAGTGAAGTGCTTGGTCTGGTGAGCTGTCCAAGGTCCTGAATCCATTTCACATCTCTGTCATTTACTCTCTTTCAGTTCCGTCTTAGCTTTGCTGGCATGACATGCAGACTCCATACAGTGCAAAAGCAAATGGTGACAAAATGAATCATGTTCCCCGCAGAGAAAGAGTAGTCTGATGAGAACAGATGGGCAGAGCTCCAGTTTTTATTTTGTATTCAGTATGGTTGCCTGCTTCATTTAATGTGAGACAACAGTCACCACATCTTGGAGAAAAAAGTTGGACCCCATACATATTTTGTTCTCTCTCAGTTCAGATTATTCTATATATGTCTTACTGGCTTCACAGGTTGCAAAGCAGTGTAGCTGTGATGTTGAAGTAGAGTTAAAACAAAAATATTTAGAGATGGTGTATAATCCATCACAACAAAGATGTATTTAGTTTTGACAGATTGCTGCTGCTGTGTGTGGTGATGTTTTGTCAGGTACCTTTGGCGTCTCTGCTGTATGTGACACACAATGTTACTGTACTTTCGGTGTCACATACTGAAACTCAAATATGTCCTTGGCATCCGTTGGGAGATGGACGGTTGGGGCGAATGGATGGGTCAAATAAACACTGGACTTCACCCAGGAGAGCAGAGCTCAGCTCTGATGTTTGACACACACAGGAGCTTTTCCCCAAATCTAACCACATAGTTTTCCCTCCTAAATCCAATAAAGTATTTTTATGTCTAAACATAAAGTTTTTGTGCCTAAAACTAACCATGAGATTGTAAAACACATAGTTTTCATGCATAAATCGAAAGTGTTTACTGGCATTCGGTGATATACCTTTCGTGTGCCGTACTGATGCGAGTGGATAAATACTGGTCTGCAGATTTTGCACTAGTAAGGTGCTGAGTAGCCTACAATCTCGAGTATAGGTGCGCACAAATGTCTAAAACTGAATGATTGGTAACCTGAATACACTGAAGCCTTTGTGATTTGCCATCACACCTGGCTGGTTGCAGCAGTGTCTCAGTATCTATCCCAGCACGTCTGACAGCCGGACAGAGGCTCTCTCCCAGTCTTTATCTACCTACCTACCTATCAACCAGTCTGTCTATCTACTTATGTATCTGTCTGTCGTCTCGAAACGTAGAGGAGAATTTAGAGCTCGGTAATGGAGACCACCGTGGAACGGGGCTTTTACCCCCGCCGGAGACGCACAAACTCACCGGACCAATAAGGCGACAAAGGGCATATACCGGTTTGGTGTTTTATCTCAACGACGCCTGCTACTTTTTTTTCTTCCTCTTGTCATTTTATACAAACGCGCCTCCAAAAACAGCTGCTCTGCTCGGGAAGTTACGGACAAAACACGGATAAATCCTCCGAAGTCGTCTTCTCCAGTTTCCAAGAGGCGATCTCACCCGAAGGTAAAAAGCAGACACCAAAACTGTTGAATTACTGGTTGCTGTTTGTGTCAAGCGGCCCACGTATCATCCACTGCATATATGTGTATTTTATATATTAAGTAAAATTTGTTAGACAGGAGTGAACATTTCGTACAAAGTGGGTGGGAAGGTGACTCATACTGATCCAAACGCTGTTTTGGAGAGGCTATTTACACTGCGCCTTTGCGGGTATAAGAGACATACAGGCTGGAGGATATTTCTTGAATATATCACATGTGCTCTGACAGGACACCGGATTTCCGGTGGCTAAGTGGTTTTAAACAAAACATCAGTGGGCGACCTGTCTGTATGATGGGGCTGTGAAATGATGCAGCTCCTCCTCTACTGTTTTCACACAGTATTATGTTTTTGACAAGAAATGCGTGGAGATTTGGAGTCTTTGTGGCAGCTATGTGTTGGCTGTGATTGTGGGTTAATGACATTAGTTCCCTGCCTGTGTATGTAAATGAAAAACTGGAGGAGAAAGTATGAGCACATATGAGTTTGAAAGGTAAGAAGCCAGTAAATGTCTATAGCAGGTACAAAGATGATATGGTGTCTAAAGAATTTGTTGTATTATTTGTGCTGTTATCTCATTAGATAGGCTACAAACTACATTTTCCCATCAAACTAGTGCACTGTATTTCTTTCAAGTATGTAGGCTATATTTGTTTAGAAAGGGACCTGTAATTTATAATATAACATAATAAATAACCTGCCACCCTCAAAGTTGAATGTATTTAAAACTATAAAGTATGTTTAAGTTCCACTCCAGACATTTTAATATTTATATTTGCATATAAAGATACTCTGCTATAAACAATATATAGCCCAGCACAGTTTTTCCTCAAAAAAGTTCAGCGAACCTCTGTAATAGGCCTAAAGATTTGCATCTCACTGTGCAATCCAGAATCTGAGTATTGAAATATTTGCAAATGTGCCCACAGCACCACCCCACCCCCCACCACTGCTTCCCCACACATAGACTGGTGAACTCACTGTATCAGGATGAGATGCAGGAGTGAAAACTGAACAGATGTAGCAGTTTATATTTGAGCCTCATTCACCCATTACATAGCAATATTGTATAAAAGAAATATAAGTCGAATTGTGTAAATGTATTTACAGTCTGGCTGAGTTTGACAGCAAGACTTTATTTTCTCAGATGGTCCAATGCAATCTATCAGGGAGGCTGGATTATAAGCAGCACACTGATTGCACCCATTTCGTCTACTAATACTGTAGCATTATTGAGCCAAATGTAGCGTTTTAATTTGCTGTTGATATTCCAGCATGTCTACTACCATCCCATAACATTTTATAGTATAGCAGTATCTTTTTATTTTTCTTCTTATTATTCACATGATCTGAAATGTAATCTACTGAAGTTACCAGAGAACCAAGACTTTGCCTTACTGTATTAGCAGCATCCAAACGTAACTGGGTACATTCCAACAATGGTACATCTCTACACGTCTACTACATGTCTCATGCCATCTCATAATGTTAAAAGGTATGTCAGTATCGCTTTATTATCTCAGCTGATCCAAAATGCAGCATTAATCTAACATTAGTAGTTAACACAGAAGCAGGCCGTCAGCACTTAGTGTAACAGTGAGCCAAGCCTAGCCTTCCCTGTCATAGTATATTTATGCTTTGCTGTTAATACTCCAGCAGCGATAAGTGTGTCAGACCGTCTCAAAATGGTTGGTAGTATGTCAGTATTTCTTTATTTTTGCTTGAGGAATAATTTAACTGGTACCACGAGATTAGCTGTGTGCTTTAGCAGTGAGCCAAATGTAGCTTAAGTTAATGCTAGTTGTTAAACACTGATATCCAACTGCACATCTCATACCATGTCATAACAGTAGATTGCATGTCAGTATCTCTTCATTTTTTAAGTTAATCCAAAAGTTAATCTAGTAATGTTAACGTTACATTAACAGAAGACCAGGAGCTTGTGTTAATAGCAGTTGGTTAACCACAGCACTCAGGCTGCTACCAGAAGCCAAAACCATAACTAACAAGCTGTTAACAATGGTACGTGTCTCACTCCATCTCAGTGTTAGCTAAGTAGTAACTATATAAATAATGTAAAGAAGCTCCAGGGTCTGGTATACATCCAAAACCTGCACACTCCTTGCTCTCCATCACAATGTCAGGTGGCCTTGAAACGCTCTGTTCACATCAAGAGGCATCATTTTGCTGGGTAAAAACACTCCAGCCCAGGCTCTCATTAGAGCTCTGAATTTTCCCTCTGTTGCAGTAAGAATTGAGACAGTCATAACTGCTGTTTAATGGTGACTGAAAAACATATTTATTGAAAAATGTTTTCTGTAAAATAATGATAAAATCAGGGGCCTTTCAAGTGGTAAAAAGAGAGCTGTCTGCCCGGCACATCCTAACATTTAGCCTACTTCCAGAGATGATGATTTTGCTCAGACTTCCAGTCCCATAAGGTTGGTTCCTCCACATACTGAATTACTCATCCAGCTCTGTCCACTCAGCACTATCCCACAGGAAGGGTAAAAGTATTGAATATAATGACAATGTTTACAACAAAAAGACACAAAAAAGCTGACCAAACTGCAAGTCAGTTGAAAGACATGCAGGATATAATGCCAAATTACACAGGCCCTCCCCAGTTTGGCGAAATGTCAATTTAATCTCAGGTGGTAAACCCTTTAGCCAGGACAACTGGGCAGAGAAAGGAATTAGCATCCTGGGTGACCTCAATGGGACAGATACCTTAATCACCTTTGAAGACTATCTGGGATAAGTGCACACTGTTCATGTATTTTAGACTCAGATCCACCTTAAAAACCCTTAAAGCCTAGTGGGGCAATATACATCTTGACTACCCACTGGTCATATGGATTCGGTCAGCACAAACACATACTGTATTTTTTATGTACGACAAAGTATTCCAAGGTCTCTGTCTCAGGGATCCTAGATCTGTGTCCGGCCTCAACAGGAAGATAAACTGGGACACGTTTTGGTCATATTACATAATAGCCTCATGTAAACCCAGCCACCAATTTATTCATTTTATGTTCTGTCACGGAGCATATGTTACACTCCAGCAGAGATACCGGATGGGTCTGAACCCCCACCCAGACTCTACACCTTGTCTCTCAAGCACCCTGGGCACCTTGGTACACATGGTATGAGACAGTCCAAAGGTGCTTTTGGCAAGATTCAAGTTTTCTCGGCCCTGGCAAAGATGAACTTCCCAGTGGACCTAGCACTTCATCTCCTTAACAACTCTTCTGAACTATTGTTTCCCAAAGCAACTCTTAAAGTATGGCTAGTCAGACTGTCAGCAGCCAAAAAAACATGTTGCTCAATCCCGGATTCTTCAACACAGCCTGACAGCACAGTCATGGCATAACGTGTTATTAGAGATTCTAAATCAGGAACTCTTCTTTGTTTACATCTTCTTACCACGGACCTACTAATCCACATACAGGGTGGACTGTGAAAGGGAGGGCAAAGTGGGTGTTCTGGTACAGTTCTGTTCATGTTTTTTGAGTTCTTGTGTTGTGTTTTATTTTGTTAAAAATCAATAAATATTGAATTTTTAAAAGAGAAACATTGACCAAAAATCTGCAAAATGCAAAGTTTAATAATTAATATGAAGAATTTGTTTTGGGGGGCTGTAATCAGCTAGGCATACTAATAAAGATAAATCAATATAATTTTGTTAGCAGTTTAATCAGATTATCTCCAATGCTGCTGTACTCTATAGATGTCCCATTGTAATCACTTGATGTACTACAACATGCTTGGATCCTTTAGTAGGTTGCAGTGTCTTTCATTCCATCAAATTAACAATGGATTTAGGTCTAGCTACCCTTTTAGCACAGCTTTTTGAGTGACCTGAAAAGAAACCTAACTGCTGTGTTAGTGGCCTCAATTTGCTTCAACTGCAAAAAAAAAAAAAAAAACTAGTAGACTATAACTCGTATCCATTTATGTCCATCTTTCCTCTTTTGTTCTCTCGCTCTCTCGTCCACTTTGGCACACCCTACCTCTCTCTCTCCCTCTTGCTAGTATGCGCTCACTCAATCTGTGTCTCCTCATATCTCGTCACTCTCGGCAGCACTCTACCCTCTCTGCTTGTCTCCAATCACACATGCACAAACACACAAGGGCATGCCATGTTGAGTATTAGTTGAATAAGTCTGTGATCTTTGCACTTACAGTAGCTCTGTTATGCATCATCTTGTGTCACAGTTTGACTGTTTGTCAATTGTTTTATTCTTCTGGAGTTGCCTACTATACATGATGACCTATTTGTCCTCAGGCTATGTGTGTATTTAATTTTATGTCACATATTGTATGGACAGAAAGAAAAGGCATCGGAATAGAATTTCCAAACCCTGGCAATATTTTAAGGGCAAGTCATTTCTTTTCTCTCTATTTGTGCAGTGGCTTCATTTTAGAAGGATGGTATATTGCACAGGGCCATTTATAATGTATAGAGGAGTCCTGTATTAAATATCTGCAGAGTCGGAGGTGTGTATTCCACTGCTCCATCAGGAAGGCTAGATTACACCATATTGCATCAATGGAGGAATGAAGACAATATAGGGAAATGAGGGGGAAAATGTTTTTGCGGAGTTCACTAGGAAGTTGTGACTTTTTGGAGTGTATTGATTCAGTAACAGTATTTACGTCTGGACTTTAACATTACTGCAGTATATGGTTTATAACGCTGATGTCAGGAGAAGGTTGAAGTCACTGGTGTTGGAGTTTGAAGATGAAAACAAAAGGATCATGTATCAACAGACTCTGAAGCTGCAAAAACAGATAAAGTAGCAGAAGTCTATATTTAAAAAGCATCACTAGAGAGATGAGACGTCGCCATCCCCTCAGTTAGAAACTGTGTCTGCAGAAGCAACCAAATCTTTCTTATCCCTTGTGTTGTTCTTCTGTTTATTCTAAGTAAAGCTTTTTAGAAATACAAGAACAGATTTGCA